CTTGCTGCGCTTTGGTATGGGCTGCTCGCCGGCTGAGACAGTATATGCTGACTCACACTACCTTGTTGATCTCAAAGACGGATCCTATAAAGTACATATTTGAAAAGCCCGCTCTGTCTGGGAGAATAGCAAGATGGCAAATGATCTTGACGGAATACGACATTCAATACACGACCCAGAAAGCCATCAAGGGAAGTGTATTGGCAGACCACTTGGCACATCAGGCCGTAGATGACTATCAGTCAATGAACTTTGAGTTTCCAGACGAAAGCATCATGATTGTGACTGATTGTGAAGTACCTGGACCGGATGAAGGACCTGAGGAAGGATCCCGATGGTCTATGCACTTTGACGGAGCCTCCAATGCTTTGGGTAACGGTATCGGCGCTGTAATCATATCACCGCAAGGCACTCATACTCCGCTCACTGCCCGACTATGTTTCAACTGTACCAACAACATGGCGGAGTACGAGGCGTGCATCATGGGTCTTCAAGCTGCGATCGACTTAAGGATCAAGTTTCTAAGTGTCTTCGGAGATTCCTCTCTTGTGATCAATCAGATCAAAGGAGAGTGGGATACGAAACATCTGAATCTTATTCCTTACAGAGAATGTGTGTTGACCTTGATCCCCCACTTCACGAAGATAACCTTTGATCCAAAAACATCCTACCCCCCCCCCCCCCCCTAAATTGAGGGCTGCGAGTTTGATGAGATAATTATTTTGGGCTAAAACTCAATGGTTTGGCCTCTATAATGAAAATGGTGTAGATCGGAGAAAACATGGTACTTTATGATTCTGAGTGCATGGGACCATTACGATGGTCTAAACCTGTTCAGATACAATTTAGAAGCATGTTAGTAACACCAATATGGCTTTAAAAAAACAAAAACAAAGATACGAATTTTTGAAAAGATCATGAAATTGGTGATGAATGCATGCGTATTTCATGAGCTTTGGACCATCAAACATGATTCATTCTTACCCTGTATGCTTGTTAAGAGTGAATATAGTGGTTATTTGTAGTGATAGGGTTTGTATCAAAGGTTTTAAGATTTTAGGGTTTCTTGAGAAATTTGATCTTTTTTGACAGGTTTGTGGCAAGGGTTTTTTCCGTGTGGTCTTGTATGAGAATTTATGAGATTATATAGGGGAATTAGGTCAATGATATGTGGGCTTGGACCTTGTAGAAGAGGACATGATTTTATCTTATTTATGTTGCATTATTAATGAATAAATAAAAAATAATTAAAATAATAATTAAAAAAATAAGTCAAGGGATGTATGAATGAATTATGAGGTGTATAAGGAGTATAGAGCACGTTTGGACTTTAAAAAATGGCCCAATAGTTCAAAATATCAAGTTTTCTCAATTTTAATTTTATGTATTTGCTCAAACTTTCCCAACTTACAATGCTCATAACTCTCTCAATTTGCATCTTTTGAGGCGATCTTTGACTTTTTGGAAATATCAAGGTGTCCTCTACAATCTCTATGTTGATCATTTTTTATTTTTAATAATTTATCTTGATGTAAGTTGCCTTGACAAAAACTGTCTTTTTTTTACTTTTATAATGACATGTAATGTATTGGCTGGGGAAAATATGATGAAGCATGTGAAAGTTATGCTTGGTCAAAGTTCAGTTGACTTCTCCTAAGGAAACCCTAATTTAGAAACTTTTAACTCTTGGCGATTTGAGAGCTTTTCTTGAGGAATCATGATCAACCCTTGATCAAATGATGAATAAGGATTCAAAATCTTGATGTTGACCAAAAATATTGAGGCTTGACTGTATGTTGACCATAATTGACTTTTTACCCAATATAGTTGATTTTGAGTCATCTGAGCCATTGACTGAGCAAACTTGTGATGCAAGGCATGAAACTTGGCCTGAGAACTCCTAGGGACATATGAAGAACCATGAAAACCACTTGAGACCTTGGAAACCAAATATTCTTTGAGAAATAAAAAACCCTAGTTGTGAGTCCATTGCTTAGGAGGAGAATTTATCTGATCAATTCTTGAGCCACCTTGGGCATTTGAGAATCCTAGGAGAATGTCTTGAAGGAAATGAGAAGGAAAATTTTGGGGTACAACAGAATTGTTGACTGATTGTATCTGAAGGGTGATAAATAATTGACAATATTTATTTGTTTGCGAACTAACCTAAAAGAAACAAAGTTGGTTTTATGCAATGTCATGATGTATGTAATGTATTGTGTAATGATGCTCTCAAAATAAATGAGAATACTATATGATTTTTGTATGCATATGCTATGGTATTTTGTAAATGATGTATGGGTGAAAGATGTCATTGGAGCATATCGGCAACTACGTAAAACATCTTTGGATGGGGAAAATAAATCCCTGACTATTATTGGGGAATGAAGAATATGGATCTTCAATCTTGCTAGGAACAATTTTGCTGGGGAAAACAAATTCATCACTGTTACTGGGGATTCCTTCTTTCTGCTTGAGGACACTCCACTATGGACGTTCGACTTCTATTTGGGGATAGAAGAATTTCAGGAATATTGGTCGTTCATCGTTCTTTTGAAGGACTGGATTCTTATGTACCCTGACTAGGGATAAAAGAGATGGATAATCCTCTGATGTGTTGTCTGACCAAGTTTCAGATATGGATGTTAACTCTTATGGGGAGGCCAAGGTTGAATGACATCTAGCAAGAGAAGAGGATCATGTCGGGGAATTACAATATCATAGAAATAAACTCCTTTGGGAAGATAAACCCTGTTGGAGAAGAGAATTTCTATAAACTAAGTTGAGGAGATAATCTCTGATTGGGATCGGTGAAACAACTGGCTGAAAATCATCAAACAATGAAGTCTCCATAGAACGTCTTTTATCCCATATGAAGGGAAAGGTGAACATCGAGAAAACCTTAGAAGGGAGAAGTCACAGTCTTGCGACCGAGAGATCGAGTAAGAGAGTCTGTTATGCGGGGGAAAGGTATTAGAACCCCACACGCCCGTAGTACTCTACGGTATCCACTCTTGTTGTTCATATTATGGGTGCGTTTAATATATGCTTATTGTTTAATACTGAGAAAGAATGCATGCAAAAGAAATGGGAAAAGAATGTAGGGAAAATAAAATTATACTCGCTTGGGACCTACCCTAATGCCTACGTATCCTTTTTGAGGAATCAGATCTATCGTAGTCCGGCTAACATGTTTTTGTTTGTTTTGTGCTTTTTATGGACAATGTTAATTCAGCCTTCTGTCGTAGCTCGACCTTTGGAGACTTATGCGCTGGCACAGAAGTAAAGTAATCATGTCCTTGCTTGAAAAGGGTTTTAGAGAAAATGTGCTTAGGCGCACAAAAAAGCTTGAGTTAGTTTATATTTTTGTTGCAAATAATGGCTAGTTAACCTCAAGAGAGAGATCTTAACCACTTTTCCACTTATCTATGAAAGGAGTCTTTGAGACTTGAACAACACCTAGGCCTGAGATGAAAGAACAATAAGATCGAGAAGAAACCTTCTTATGATCCCCCATACTCAACAGAAGTATGACTCTCATCAGTAATTTTAAAGTGTTTTGAAGTTTGAAAGGAAAAAGAAGTTTTTGCTTAATGCAAATGCAAAAGAAGAAAGAAAAGTCTAAGGGAGACTAGCCTATTTCTAAACCTAATGTTATTATGCATCATGGACCTAAAGTTGGAATTTCGAGGGAATTCTACCTAATGTTTGCATGCTTGGATTTAAAAGCCTAATGTCTAATTTTAGTTCAGTTAAATCGAAGATTAAATTTGAACCAAAATCACCTAAGGGGTCATGAAAGACTATATAAACAAGTGAAATTAGGCAGCAAGTATTAAATCATTGCATATAATCCATACCAAAAATTGAAAACGAAATACATAGCATAAAATGAGTAAAACCAATAATTAAAATTGACTAAAAAGTTAGTAAAAGGGGAAATAAATTCCTAATTAATTTCTATAAAAAAAATAAATCTAAGATTTTTATATTTTTTATTAACAAGAATTATACAATAATGTAAAATAAAAGATAAAAGAAATTCTAAAAAAACAAACTCAAGGGAAGGTATACTATGTAAGTAGGGGGTATAGTCTAGTAAGGGCCATCTGGGCGCTAAGCCCACTGAGCTAAGTTCACAATGCTTTTCTTTTCTTGCATCACAAGGCGTACCAAAAAACTACTCAGGCCCAAAGGGCTTAGAATCCAATTAGCTGTTTTTTTTGTTCTGGGCAATAGGCTACCAAAAACTTAACAACGGGCCTAAGCACGGTGTAGAATCTGGCCCAGGTCCCCAAGCATCACTAATCCAATTTCTTAACAATTTTCAATTATTTGCAGTCTATTAAACTCTTTTTTATTGAACAAAACTAAAAGAACAAATTAAAAAAATAATAATAGAAGAAGTATAATGAGAACGCATCGTTTTGGGAGTCTAGGGTTCAAATACATTGTGACTCTTCAGCTTCATTCAAACCCAACTCCTTTCATTTTCGTCGCCGCTAACCTGCCGCTCTACTTCCACCTACACACGCCAGAGACTCCATATGTGGTCACCAACCTCATCATTTTCATATCCCTCTTCCATATCTGGTACCAAATTATACTAATTTCCACTAAACTGACTTAAATCTAACCGAAAAGGTTTAAACCTAGGCTTAGTGTAAATGACATTAAATGCTATATGTGAAGCTTCAGGACTCGATTATTTGTGGTTATGCTTCTCAATGCACCTATCTACGCAACGACATGAAGATCAAAGCAAAGGATGAAGAAATGAGGGAGTTCAGTACTTACTTATCGAGATCTTGAAGGCGAAAGAGGGAAAACCAGAGATGAGATTTCGGGTATGAAATTGCTTTTTTCTCTTCTTGTTCTCGCATTATTTCTTCTTCTACACACTTATTTTATTTTGTGATTACTGAATGTCGAGAAGTTGTTGTTGATGTGTGAACAGAGAGAGAACAGAGATCTAGTGTTGTTGAAGCTGAGAAATAAACTTAACGTTTGGTGGAGAGTGCAGAGAAAACCAGATAGAGGACGATGATGATTATGGGGATGATTAAGTGAGGTTGAAGATGAAGATATCCGAAGTAGTGAAGTTGAAGTATGTTATAGTGATGAAGAGAATGAAAGGTTGGAGGGATGAAGAGTAGGCGTTTTTTTATGTTGCATAGAAAGATGATAGAGATCTTGATGCGGTTCAAAGAGAGAGGTTGAAAGGTTGAAGATGAAAAATGAGGATTGAAGGTTTTGTATGATGAATGAAGATTATGCATAGTGCCATTTTCAGAATGTTGATGAGTTTGTTATATAAAAAGAGCAGTTAGGAATTCGGTTGGAGCTTGACTTGTTTTTAGGACATTGGATGATTATGGAGTTGGTTAGAAGATCAATGGTATGGATTGAATAGGTTAGGGTTAGTTTTAGTTAGTTAGGAAGGTTGGGTAAATTTTGTTATGGTTAGTTATATTGTTATGGGATTGGAGACTGTTAAAAACAGTCAGGGGTTTTTTATTCTGTTAAGGAATGTTAGAGTTATGTTTGGTTATTTTGCTTTTTGTTAGCAGTTGGAAGTTACAAGGATTTAGAGGGAATTAGGAATTTTTATGTTATTTTTCTTCTGGATAGTTAGGGAATATGACAATTAGTTGCAAACTGTTAGAAGCAGTTAGAATATTCTGTTAGAAACTGCTCATATACTGTTAGTGAACTGGCCTTGTTGAATCTGTTTGAAAATGCAGTGGTTTGTAAACTGTTTTGGGCTTCTTCTTATAACTTGGATAGGTTTTGTGCTAATGTGCATATGCTTTGATGCCTCTGTCTGCTTCAGAATCAAGCTTTGGACTTTTTACAACAGGTAACCATTCTAGCTCTGCAGCATTTAAATATTTTGTTCAAATTTGGATTTGCCTTTGGATACATAGGTAAAGTGTGATTGATTCTTTTTAGAGTCCATTTTGTTTTTCCGTTATGTGGTTTTTAGTTTGTAAAGATTCTGTTAGTTATAGGTTAGTTAGGATTTTTGTTTGGAGATGTTAGTTTGTGAGTTTGTTATGTTGGTTTTGAAAATCAGTTAAAACAGTTAGGGGGTTATTAGAATGGTTAGAAACAATTTTGTTTTCTATTTGAATGAACTGGCAGGTACGTAATTATGCAGTTTTGGATTTCTGTTATGAGTTTTACTTCCGTTTTTGTTTCTCACAGTTTCTGAATTTTTCCTCTGATCTCCATTTTTCTCCATCAGTAAATCCCCCATATATTTAGCCTTTGGTTTATGGTTATGTTTGGATTCCTGATTTTGTTCTGATACTTTTGCTTCATTTTCTGTCTTGAATGAGTTGGTGCATGTCATTGGTTAGTTTTGTGTTAGGATGGTGTGATTCTTTAAATCTTACAGCTTGGTTGTGACACAGTTTTGGAGGCGGCAACAAGTGTGTTTGAGTAACAAGGCAGCAAGTCATGGCATAAAAATGTTAATATCATGAAGGTAAAAGATGTTTAGGACTAGGTTTAAGAATGTATCCAATGTATGGAAATGTAACATGATATAGTAGTGGAGATTTTTTTGTGTTTGGTAATTCTGTTATTTTGTTCAGGATAACGCCGACAACGTAATGGCGAGTTTTCATGCCTCCAAATTTCTCCTGGCTTTGTACTTTTGTTAAGACTTTGAGTAGATTTTATTCTTGAACTTGGACAAATGAGTATCGGTATTTGCCTTTTGATATGTTATGCTTTTCCGAAACTTAAATCCAAAAACTCCATTAGAAGCTTGCATAAATTTTACACGCCACGCTTACAATTTTAAGAGACTTCAATCTCCATGTTCCAATCTCAAATCCTCACTAACTTTCCTTTGAAGAAAACTCTTAGTTGAAGAATCATACGCAAAACTTTGAGTTCGAGTTACTTGGACTTTGAATCAAACTCAACCTTTGAATTATCCCTTGAACGTATCATTGCGCCTTGATTATCCCAAAATGATTAAATGATCATTATTATAAGAACTTTAACCCTTAACTCGGAATCTTAATCCTTCATAATAAGCATTAAGTTTATGGCTTAATGTAATTCAGAATGAAGTCAAAAGAATCTCGTAACACAAGTAAACCAAGCATTCAGATGAAATATCTTACATTAGGATATCCATGAACCGTAACTTACCATGGATGAGATCCTCTGAAGATATCGTTGCCTTGTGTGGCACATTAAAAATCCTTGAAGCAAAACCCTAGCATACCATAAATACACTAAGATCTCTCCATGTCCTATGCTTTTTGAATCATGAGTTGAGTCCTTGAGAATGTAAGACTTAACTGATGAGAAACTCTTAGGGAAATCCCTCCTTAAAGTCCACGCTTGCAGGTCATAACTTCATAGGAGATCTTGTTGAAGAAAATATTGTTTCCTTAGAACATGTAGCCACTGAATTGCAACTGGCTGACATTTTCACTAAGGCTTTGGATGCTAATCAGTTTGAGAACTTAAGAGGAAAATTAGGGATTTGCTTATATGAGGGTTTATAGCAATTAAGGGTGTGTGGGAATGTCATTAAAGTGATATTATATTATTTATGTTTCCAACAAATCAAATTTCGAAAGCAATCATTACAAGATTGTCTCAAAGTGTTTCCTACACGGTACGAAATCACATCTTTCTACTTTCACAAACTCTTGTTAGAACATAGCTTGATTCTACAACCCTTAGTTAGAGTTTTGATGATAAAAAATACAAAGAACAAATATGCACCCTAAAAATTATGTTATTGTGTATGCAGAAGTTCTGACCAAAGCAGCATCAGAAGTTAAGCCATAGAAGCTACACGCTGAAGCAATCAGAATTTGCGCTGAAGATTGATGACCAGAACCTGCGTTTAAGTGAAGTAAAACTCTGATTCTGAACAAGAGCATAATAATCCAAGTCATCAATGTGCTGAAATCATCAGCATCAAGCAAGGATGAAATATTCTGAAGCATTATTATTCATTCAAGATTGCATCAATTACAACAGCTTCTTTCAGACAGGATCTTCTCCAAATGGAAACTGAGTTAATTTCATTTAACACGCTTGATGATCAACGTAAATCCATTGCCTATATAAACAAGCTCAGTGTTCAAATCATTCATGATTTGCCAATACTACTTACGTGAATTCAAAAAGCTTCTAGCATACTCATTATATTTCCACGCTCTAAATTTGTGTAAATTATCACAGTTGTGATAACAGTTTTTGTAAAGAAAAACAACAACACGCAGTACTCTTGTTTATTTGATTAAAACAGTGTTCCTTGAGACTAACCGGATTGTGGTTGTACTCAAGAAGACTTTAACAGCTGTTAAAGTAGTGACTGTAATCCTTTTGAGATTAGTGGATTAAGACCTCGTTGGAGAGAGGCGAAATCACCTTGATGGGTGGACTGGAGTAGTTTGAGATCAAACGAACCAGGATAAAAATACTGTGTCATTGCGCATTTGATTTCAAGTTTTCAATTCAACCCCCCCCCCCCCCCCCCCCTTCTTGTGTTTTTCACTTCTTCAATTGGCATCAGAGCGCCTGGTTCTGAGCTTAAACACTTAACCGTGTCATTACAAGATCCAAGCTGCAGAAAAACACTATGGTGGGACCAAGCCAAAATATCAGCAATGAGTGCCATGAAGACAAGGATAGATTCAGTGGTAAACCTTCAGTCTTTGATGGAGAAAACTTTGACTACTGGAAAGATAGAATTGAGAGTTTCTTTCTGGCCCATGATGCTGATCTGTGGGATATGGTAACTGATGGATACACACATCAAGTGGATGGAAGAGGTCAGAAGATAGACAGAAAAATGATGTCTGACCAGCAGAAACGTGACTTCAGAAATCACCATAAGGCCAGAACAATACTCCTCAGCGCTATCTCATACTCAGAATATGAGAAAATCTCAAACAGAGAGACTGCCAAGAACATGTTTGACTCTCTGAGAATGACGCATGAAGGCAACTTTCAAGTCAAATAAACTAAGGTCCTTGTGCTCATTCAGAAGTATGAGGCATTCAAGATGGAAGATAGTGAATCCATAGAAGCTATGTTTTCAAGATTCCAAATCCTTGTTGCTGGACTAAAGGTTCTTGACAAAGGGTATTCTATTGTTGATCACATTAAGAAGATTATCAGAAGCTTACCCAAGAAATGGAGGCCAATGGTCACAGCACTTAAGCTAGCCAAATATCTCAACAAAATATCTCTGGAGGAACTTGTCAGCTCCCTCAAGAGTCACGAGATAGAGCTAGAAGAAGATGAGCCTCAAAAGCAAGGTAAGCCACTAGCTTTAAAATCTAACCGAAAATCTGACTCTAAGGTTTTGCAGGCTGTGGAAGAAACTTCTGATGGATCCTCATCAGAAGAAGATGAATTGTCTCTCCTCTCCAGAAGGGTGAACCAACTGTGGAAGCATAAACAAAGGTAATTCAGAAATTCTAGAAGATCAGAGAATCAGAATGAATCCTCCTCCAGATACAGAAAGTCTGAGTCTTCCTCTGGACACAGAAGATCTGAATGTTCTTCAGGATACAAAAAGCCAAATAACAAGGAAATCATCTGCTATGAGTGTAACAAGCAAGGGCACTATAAAAGTGACTGCCTAAGGCTTCAGAAGGAGAAGCCCAAAAAGAAGTCCTTCAAGGAAAAGAAGAAAAGCCTCATGGCAACATAGGATGATTCAGACATCTCTGAAGCTGGCTCAGAGTCAGATGATGAAAGAGCAAACATAGCTCTCATGGAAAACGTGTCAGAAGAAAGTGAAGCTTCTGGTTCAGACTCAGAATCAGACACTGAAGAGGTATTCCCTGACTTTACCATTAATTTTACTAAGGTTGAACTTGCAGAAAGTATAAATGAAATTCTGGAAAGGTATCAGCATATCAGAGTCAAATTCAAGAACCTGAAAAGGGATCTTGCCTCTGACTCTGAAAAGTCTGAGAGTCTCAGATTAGAGAATTCTGAGTTAAAATTTTTTTCAAAATTAGAAAATGATTTGCAAAATTCTCAGAAGGAAACAATCTTAGAGAATCCTAGTAATGCTGATGAGATCATCAAAGAGTATGATCACAACTTTCAGAAGTTTCTAGCTAGAAACGTAGATAGAAGCAAGATGGCTTCAATGATCTATGGAGTTAGCAGAAATGGCAGAAAAGGGATAGGATATCAAGGTAAGGTATCTACACCTAAACAGACCATGGACTTAGTCATAAAACGCACACCACTCAAATCACATTTTATATATGGGCATACACAT